ATGGACTCAGCATGGACCAGTACTCATAAAAGGCACTCTGATGTTGCAGGAAATGAACCATATTAGCAAGGAACATTAAAACAAATCACAAGCATTAATTTTTCACTAGAAACTAAATCACCAAACAGAATATGTTGTCAAATAAATCATTCCTTTTATTGGATCAGCTCCATATTACATTTGAATCATGGATTTCTAGTTTATCCCACAATGTGGAAGTGACAGAGCGGGCGTTTCAGATGCCATTTCTGTACTCCCGGCTCTCACCTCTACTACTAAATCTAATTAATCAAGTAATGGATAATAAAAATGTTTTATTAAAATGACAAGAGCTTTCATCCCCATTAGCACAAGGTGGGTCCAATGTTCTCTGTGAAGTTGTTCAATCAGCTTGGGCAATCAAAATCATTCAATATCTGATCAGAAGAAAGCAAACTCCCCACCTCATCCAACTGCCACCTTGCCAACTGCACTCTTTATGACGTAGGGGAAATAACAGATAATGATCCTCACATGCAGAAGGATAGAGTTAGATCACTTCTGTATTAGACCTATACCAACATATCTGCCCAGTTCCCTTTTCAAATATTGTATGTTGCTTTCATTAATTTTGTTCAGGGGGACATCTGTCTGTCTGTCTGTCTGTCTATCTCTCTGTCCTACAAAAATACATACTAAAAATCACTGGAACTTAAAGAAATCTGAAAGAGCCTTGTTCAGAAGTTTTGCAACGTTTTTGTAGTTTTTGCAGTACCCAACCGCTAGCAAAAGCATCACAGAGGAACAATAGAGTGTTTTCAGATGGGACATGAAATCTAAAGACACAAGGCAGCTGTTTTGCCTCTGTAGATATAGTTATGCCTTCAAGGACCTACACAGATGTTCTGCCAAATCAGAGATGGCCAACTTCTTTCTTTCAAAGGCTTCACTCTTTTTATTTATTTATTTATTTATTTATTTATTTATTTATTTCATTATCCATCCATCCATCCATCCCGTGTCTGTGGGAAGCAGGGTTATAGCCAACTGGCTGATATGAACATTTAGGCTCTTTATTTTTAGATATTTGGGAGAACTTAACAGAAAATAAAGGAATAAGCTATGGTTATAGAAAATAAAGGACTAGGCTATTTTAATGAAAATTTTGGTGGATTCTTATTTAGTTCTATTATTATACACAGAATTGGTCTTTCGTAAGTTCACATTTTAAAAGTTCATAATGGCTTCGCTCTTAAGCTGTTAGTCTATCCATAGAAAGGGGACAATTTCTGCTAATTCCCTAACTATCTCCATTTCTCCATATCAAATACTAATTCTCAGGACTAGATTTGGGAAAGTCAGGCAGGAGACTGAAGAAGGAAAGAAGACACAGGGAAGTTCCATGAACTCTCTTAAGTTGACGGAAGAAGGAGAGCTAGGATCCATAGTGCTTTTAACACATAGGTCTTTGCTTGCATTTACACATTTCAGATTTATGTAATCCCGTGTTTCTCCAATGTGGTGTCCTCAAATTGTGTTGTAGTTACAATTCCTAGGATACACAGATTTTGAAAACTATGGTTCCAGTGAATCTGGAGAGCAGATTGAGAAAGACTGGTGTAAACCATCAGACGTAGCTTTAAAAAACAGCGATCAACCTATAGTAAAGCCCAATTTTGTATTCTGTTTCTCATCTTTGTGCTCTACTCTCATCAAGTTTGCATTTCTGACAGACTGGTACAAGAAAATCCTTGATCTCTCAAAGTTCTGTTTTATCCATGGTAGAAAACCATTTCTTCACTGTTTGAATTCCACTCAAGTACCTTAAAAGCAGTGAGACCCACTGGCAACCAAAGGTCATACAGTCAAGTAAATAGCAATTATACAACAGCAAGTGGGAGGGAGGGAAGGACTGACCCCCAGCTGCATATCTAGTGTATTTCCTGTGGCAACAGCAGTTTACCAAACAAAATGATGTCAAGTAATGGCTGGAAAAACACAAAATAGAATATAGAAGGACAGGTGCTATTTGAATGAAGACGAGTGAAGTCTAAATTATACATTCACATATGCTCTAGGTCTCTTTCATATGTCTTCTAGTATTATTTACTCTGTATAACAGGTTTGAAACTTACTATAGTTAATATCTAATGTTCTGATAACATCACAACAATTAGAATTAGGAGAATATTTTAGGGAATGTTCAAGGCACTTTAAATTTACTATCTTAGTACTCCTCGAAGATATCTGTCACTCTTCCTATTGAACAGAGGAAAAAGACTTAAAATCAAAGTATAGTAGCCCAATTCATACTTCACATTCAAAGTTTAACCATTGTTTCTTGCATGAACAGTAAGTCGCTACATTAATGTAACAGCTAAATCTAAAATCAAAGAAACCACATTATGGCTTATGCTTGTCTAAGATCACCTATAGTAGTGAATTCCTAGCTGAAGAAAAGGTTGATCTCCTCCGTTGATATTTTCTGTGCTTCAGTTAAATCTTGAGGATGGTACTGTCACCAATGAAGGAAATTATTGCTCTTAAGAAATGGTTAGACAATTTCTTTTGACCCTGGCAAAATTTGGACAAATTGTCTACCCATGTTTTTTGCCCATCCAAATGGCATTTTAAAATTTTCCACCTTTTCTGATTGGGATGTCTACAACTGGTCCATTTTTACCCAGCTGTAGTTGGCAATAAAAGGGAAGGAGCTCATGAGCCTATCCAGATCTGCCGAGTTCTGACTCATAGCAGACCCAGCTAAATGCCTTTAACCACTTCCCCTGAACTCACATCCCAAGAGAAAATCATAATAGACATTGTCTCCTTGTCTCTACTGCACCAAATCAAGATGACTTAATTTACTAAGACTGTTCTTATCTCATTTAAGGCTAATAAGAAATGACTTTCACTTCAGCCAGAATAACTCAGGAGGAAGTTTCCCAACATCGCTTTCATGGCTCATTTGATGCTTATTGGGGAGGAGTTTTATAAGCAGTGATGCCTCCCCTTTTCTCTCTTATTCTTTCACCCATCTCAGTTAGAAAAGGGAATATGCATGCTGCCTCTCTAATTTTAACCAAATGGTGAGGAAAGCATAATTCGTGGTTGTATCAGGACTGGATTTCCTACATGCTGGCCTTGATCTGTTCTAGATTTCACAGTGCACCTCACCTGCAGCTAACCATGGCACCACAAAGATGCCTTGGCAAGATTTTTATTCTGCCATATTCGCATGACATTTCTTTCACCCCATCCCAAGTCCTTGAGTGAGACAGGTTTAAGTTATCCTAAGCTATACTGGTGTTAATATTCTTCTCCCCTCCCACCCCAACTTTAATAATGTCCAAGGATAGTCTCTAGGTGTAAGCCTTTGTCACCCACTACTTTGGGGGGAAATCAGATGACTTGAAATAGAGGTAAGATAAGCAAGATATAAATTGGCAACACAGAGAGAAAATTTCCTGCTAATAGTTTTCTGCCAACTCAAGGATGGGTGAAGACCATTTGAACCCAGCAGTGAGGAAAGGTCCATCATTCAGGATTTGCAGGCTGGAGGGGATTGGGATGAGCGTTTTCTGTTAACAGAAACATCTTTTCTGCCAATGGGAAGCTCTTTCTGCTGGTTGGTCTGGGGTATCTTCTGATGGAAAGATGTACGTGGGTAGGAGAGAGAGACAGAGAGGAGAATGCTGTTTTGCCATAACAACAAAGAGTTAGGCAAAGCTCAGGGCCATTTGACCTGATTCCCAAAATAATGGGTAGCTCATGCACTGCACTAAGGCCTAATAGGACTTGTTAGTATGGAGTAGCATGATGTGTGAATTCACCCTGTATGAACAAAACAATAGTTAAATCCCTGATTGCTTTGGGTGAACACAGCTACTGAATCCAGGGTTAAGCTCTAAATAAGAATCTCCTAACCCTCCTCATTCTGAGTCATGCCTATTAAAGAGTAGCAGAACAGCTTCCCTTGGCCATTTTGGCCACTTAAGATCCAGTTGCCCTACATAGGAATCAATGGGCTTAAGCAGGCCTGTGATTATTACACCCTTTAAATAAATTAGCAACCCAATGAAATTGTTTAGGCCAGGGTTTCTCAACCTTGGCAATTTTAAGACATGTGGACTTCAACTCCCAGAATTCCCCAGCAGCATATGCTGGCTGGGGAAT